GGTCCGTGCTGTTGGCGGATATCCCCGTGAGTACGCATAACGTTGCTTTTGCCCGTGAGAAGTTGTGGGACACTTGCCACGAGCTCAGGGCTAGCCAGCTCCAAGATGCTTTGAAACACGGTACAAAACTTGCAGCGTATGCAAGCAAGGCGCGCAAGGCCTGCCTCCGCCAGGAGGGCCGGTGCCATGCAGCAGTGGCAACCGCAGCGGCCGCGGAATCGGGGACATTCGCGGACAATTTGTGTGCATGCGCAGGCGTCTCCTGACGCACTTTGACAAACTCGACACGCTGTGTAAGGGCAAAGTCCTGATCCTAACAGATTTCGTCACAAGGTCAAAGGAGCCATTTTTCATCCGATGCAAAACGCGGGCATATATACTGTGACGCGTTGTTCAGGATTCAGGCGCTCGGGCTTGGTAATTGGATGTTTTGAGGCAGAAAGCCCGTCAGCAGCTGTGGCCGAGTTGATTGCAGGGTGCTTAGACTCAGACCTTTTGCAGGCGTCTGCTTTTCAGATTCGCACCCTAACATACGCTGACAGTTCAACCACATCTAGGCCTGCCCTCGCCCCGGGGCTCACGAAGCTGTTTGCTGCTTTCCGCTTTTGCCGCACAAGGCCTGGGCTCAAAGAAGGCGCAGCAGGCAGGTTTTTTCGTCATTTACTTTTCATCGGCCCGTCCCAGCTGATCAGTGTGTCTCCTTGAGGATTTGAACTTCAAGGGTTCTGGCACTGGCTTTTCACGCACTCCTGTCTTTGAGGTTTATCCCTGCAGTTGAGAGGAAAGTGGGGGCCCGAACTTATCTGGCCGACGGCCTTTATCTGGCCGACGGCTTTAGTTTCAAAAAGAGCCCAACTGGTTCAGTAAAGGAGCCTAAAAGACCCCCAACTAGTTTAATAAAGGAGCTTTTTGCTACAGTTCAGCTCGTCTGCTAGCAGGTTTCGTGCACAAAACTTCTTGGCCCGTTTTGCATCGCGTCTTGTCTACATCAAGCAGGATCGAAGTTCATCAGCCAGCCAGATCCCGTCGCAAGAAGGTGGAGCACACGCGAAGCGCTTGGGATGAAGTCCTGCGCACGGATTCCGGCTGTATGGGGCCTCCAACAATCAGGGGCACATGCAAGGGACACGTCCAGAGGGCAATCACCTTGTGAACCTTGGGCAAAGTTCGTTTAAGCCCGCCGGCCTTCGTCGAACTCTCGCGTTTTCGCTTGCTCGGGTTCAGGGTTCGTCGACCCCGCTGGGGGGGCAAGTTGAGAGGTGGGAAATGAAGAACATCAGGCTCGGCAAGCGCAGCTTCGTAAACCCTTCTCTTGCCTTCGTCGAAGTCGCCTGACTTCGCCGCGGTTTGTTCTGGAGGTTTTGGGCTTACAAGGACCGCCCAAGGTCGGCTGGGGGTACGCCTTTGGGGGACCCCTTCTGTTCGCCCCCTAACAACAACATCGAGACACGCAGCCCAGACATGACTGGACATGTATGACGTTGGCTTGAATCAGGCTCGCTCCACCTCGCTCCCCAGTTCCGAATCCCTGTCTGTAGGCGGCATGGGCGACGAGGGTGCCAGCACACCTTCTTGCTGTGACATTGCGGTTGTCGCCCTTTGCTGTCTCCCACATGCTGGCCTGGCCGCTAGCTCAAGCTGTCGGAGCAGGCTTACAAGATGGAGGGTCTGCCATGTAAGCCAACCAACTTCGGCGCAACCATAAAGCAGCGTAGCAGCCTCCGAGTCAGGTGCTGAGGATGCCTTCCCCCAAAGCATGTGCGGACGAAGTGTGGAGAAAGGATGGGGTTTCCATGGGTTTCCACCTTTCAACGCGCCTAAGCTTTCCATGTGAGGCACCTTAGGCTCAGCTATCGAAGAGCCGCTCTGTTGCACGCACCAGCCGCATGGTATGGGAGCTGCGTACCAAGACAAGGCTTAGAATATGTGGGCCGCTGGCTATCAAGGAGTTGGGGCCTTGAGGCTGTATTGGACTCACATCTACGGGCATCTACCTTCCTTCGAAAATCTCACAGGACTCATTCTAGCATGAGTTTTTGGGCTTGAACGTACCATATTATGTCTTGTTCTTCAGCATGACTTGATATACTGTGGCTTGCCTTCTTTGCCATGCTTTCGCCTTATCCCTTCAGCAAGTCGATCTCCCTGGTCATCACTTTGCTGTTTTTCCCGCTCCCCAAGCGGGCGAGATGACCCAACGCGCACGAAGGGTTGAAACTGGTCCAAGGTGCGGCCTGATGTGGTGTTTGCTGGTCATAACTCGAATGCTTCGAATGCCAGCTAGAGTAAAGGCCCAGAAACACAGGCCAGCTCGGTCGCTGCATCTGCATGTCATTTTGAGGCACGCAGAACCGTTCAGGCTCGTTACTTTGCGGGCTTGGCTTGCTTGGAGACCACGAAGTACCAAACCCCGCCGTCACACCCGCGCCCGAGGAGAACGATCCATGATGCTGCTAAGCCATCAGACTCGGGTCACACAAGTGATGCGAGTCGGACGAGAGGAGTAGCTGGAGTCGACGTTCGGTTGACCACGTACAGTCATCGTAGCAAGGATCTTCGGGTCTCGGTGGGGGAGGCGGGCGATGTCCACGAGTTGAGGTTTTAAGGCTCAGGGCAGCATGAGGCTGCTCCCGGAAGCTGGAGTTTCAGGTTCGAGGTCCGCCGAGTCGCTGGCACCCAGGACATGAGAGGATCCATGAACTGCCCTAAGAAGTCAGACGTCAGCTGTAGGCTATGGACCCGGCCAGATGCAGTATGAGTCAGTATGAAGCAGTAGCACCACATGAAGACAAGTGTGCTTCGTCCGTTCCGTGTGACATGAGTCTGTTTTGCCGAGTGCTGCTCTCATCTGGTGAGAGCGCGATTGAGCGAGTGGTGTGGCTGTAGATGGAGACACGTAAGGCGGCACACCTCTTCTCGCGTTTGTGCAGAGTTCGCCAAAGACAAGATGTCTCGGATGCTGCACAAGGTGGACTGCAGGCGAGGGTTTGGGGAATCGGGAAGCTTACATGAACTTACCAAGGCCCTGACTTTCTGCCCCCTTGCAACTTGGACGCTGCAACGCGAGCTTACCGAGACCCTCTTGTAGCTGACGGTTCCTTGTGCATCCTGGAGACGCATGCAGAGCCTTCGGCTGCGCATGCCTCTGCCAGGAAGAGCGCAGCGAGGCAGTGTATCAGGAGGGTTGGCATATCAGAACCAGGCCTTAGGTAAGCCCCTCCAGAATGTGGCTCAGAGTACAAATCCGAGCCCCCCGAAACCCCACATCCCGCAATGCTCCTAGACCCTAAAGCCCTAAGCCCTCAACATCTCCAAGAGGCTTGTGCCGACACTGGCTTGATCCGACCCTGCAGGGTCATTGCGGTTGTGGGGAGGCCCCAAAACAGCTGGGCGGATGGTAAGGGTGTACGCAGGGCCATCACGCAGCATGGAAAGCTGACCTTTTTGTTGCGGTAGGGCAAGTCAGTGCAGGGAAGCATGTTAGGAAGTCGATCACAACTGCGTTTCATTGGGGGCGAGGCATTCCCTCTTTACTGACGTCGCAGTATCATTTCCATGGCCACCGGCTGTGTGGGGTCTGCATGAACAAACTCGTGAACAGTGCATTTCATTGGGGCAATGGTCCACCAACAACCGCTTCGGATGATGTTGGCGATTTTGTTCTTGTTCGCCTTGGTTTCCCCGTAGAACGCGTCTGGGTCATCAACATCGTACCAGCGCAACCGCAAAAGCACGGCTCCATCCGGGTCGTTGAATGCCTTCTTGTGGTACGAAGGAGGATCCTCGCCATCAAAAAAAGGTGCTGTGAGTTAGCAGCCAGCACTTGTCCATCTTTCTTGAAGGTGTAAAGTGGCAGATGAGGCATGATCTCGCCCATGATATCGACTGTGTCCTCTGACTTCATTACGACTTTGTAGCTGGTCCGCTGAAAATTCTCAGCGTCCGCGGCCGGTTTCATTGTGTGTGGAATCTGGCCTGCGTCGGCACCAGCCAAAGCGTGCAACGTAATTTCGTAACGAATCCGCTGCTTCGCGGGAACTGTAAAACCATTGAGAGAAATTCAGAAAGGGATCCCGCGGTCGACCTTGTCAACTTTTTGAATCCTCCGCCTTCATTGGGGCTTCAGGTCCCCCCGGCCAGGACGGTCAACCTTCCCGAATCACTGTAGAAGTTCGGGGCTTTCGTTTCTTGTGTTCAGCGCGGGCTCCCGGATCCGACCCTATCTCGCATAACGCCCAAAGGGCCCGGGCAGACTCATGGGCAGTTCCTGGTCCCTCCTGGCAGCGCGCTGTCTTCTGCCGTGCGCGCATCGTTCAATGCCGTCGCCCTCGCTTCAGAAGACGTCACCTCTTCTTTAGAAGGCTTGCTGGAAGTCGTGTGCGTTACTCCGCCGCTTTTGGAAGTGTCTTCTCCGTCTGTTGTTTCTCTGCGGTCGCCTCTTTCTTCAATCAGCATGGGAGGTGCTTGCCGCATCCGCCTGCCAACGCAGCACACTGACACTGCGCAAGCTGAGGATATTGGAGAGACGGTCAGCGACGGGGGTTGTAACCATGCACCGGCTGCGTGGAATATCGCAGCCGAGGTGTTGAGCTGGAGGAAGCATGGCTTGAGAAGAACATGGCATGGTTGATCCATAAACCCTCAGAACGTAAGATCATTGGATGCCCTGTTGTTTACAGCCCTCCCTGATACGCGAGCGTTCTTGGTTGAGCTGCAGAGCTGGCCCCACGGCGCGTGTCACGTGCGAAATGCTGGGATGACGCACGTGTCTCTAAAGGGTCAGGCTTCGAAACTAAAGTGAAGTTTCATGTCTGTGTCGTGCCATCCGCGGAGGCATGCTGCAGCAGGCGCTGGAAGTTTCTCAGAAGCCAGAGGTCTCGCAAGGCCCGACGACGACGTGCCCGTCAGCTCCAGCATGTGAGCGTCTGTACGCAAGATCGATCTCGAAGGTCTAAATCAGCCACGCTCAATAAACCCTCCGAAGTCAGGGAAGCTCTTCCCTACACCCACACGGGGCCACTCCCCTTTGTTCGGATCTCGGGGGGCTTCTGATATGAGCCAGGGGAGGCGCTTTGGCCGCTAGGTTGTCCTGTATTGAAATCACCCGAAGTTCTTCGAAGTTGCTGCAAACCAAAGAGGATTGCAGGAAGTTTCTCTGGGACCAGGAAGGTGCACCTTGCAGCAGTCCAAGTGCGGAGAGAGTGGAAAAGGCACTTGAGATCTTTTCCCAGAAATCGGTTTGCATCCGTGCATGGGAAGAAGCTCGGAACTAAGTGCGCAAATATTCCACGAGCGCCTCTCGCGACGTCTGAAGCCGCAGCGGACCAGCCGTGATGGGGCGGGCACCAGCGAGATTTGCTTGCAGACTTGCAGTGCGTGTCTTGCAAGTCTTCTTCCTCTTGGAAGAAACCCTGCGCGGCGATCTGCATCACTTGATCAGCTGCGCCCTCTCAGTGCCTTTGAGGCATCGAATGCCACCCGCCTGTCCTGTTAGCTGCATCTGATGGCAGGCCATGGGATGACCCTGGGATGACCATGGGATGACCGTGGATGACTGCAGCTAAACGAGTAAATGCGAGCAACGCGCTGTAGCAATTGCTGGCATCATCTCTTGAAGTCTCATCTCTGAGGTGCGTGCGGTGTCACAATTTAGTACTCAGACACCCACCGCACAACAATCTGCAGCCGTTGAGGCTGAGACTCACACAGCCCACTGACGTTCTCTGACGGGGAAGATCGCACATCGACGATTGCCTTTACTCAGTGATGCATTGGGTTTGGCTGCTTAACTTTACCCCTGAACTGTTCCATTCTTCGTACCTGCTGCGCGGCCCAAGACTGTCAGACTCATTTGCCAGAGCACACCCCCCTCAAACGGCTTCAAGCAGTTCTGACCTCCAAACAAGCCGGGGGGGGGGGGGGGTGGGCGGATCTTGCCAGCTCCTCCTGTGCAACTGTACCCGTAGCACGCTGCAGGTGAGAAGCCACAGCTTCGATGCAGCTCTCGTTTGCAGCCCTTACAAGGGGCAGCTGCTGAGCTTGGCTGGCCTGGTTCGTGGACTGGTTTGGTGCCCTTCCGTGCGTTCTATGCAGCGCTGGCCAGACATTCCGTGCAAGTCAAAGCCGCGCGGGCGACTTGCAAAGACCGTCCTCCTGGCATTCGCTACTTCGGGGGAGTCTTGCTTGTGGCGTGGATCTTGGAGCTTCTGGGACATTGGAGCTTGATTCGCGGCAGTCGCAAAAGGTCTGCGCTGAGATGTACTCGGAAGAGTGGTGTCCTATCTTCATGTCGTGTCTTCGTGTCCCATCCTTTGGTCGTGTTACGTCTTTGTGTCGTGTTCTTGTGTCGTGTCTGTGTTTCGTGCCTTCGTCTTCGTGTCGTTTCCTTGTGTCGTGTCGCGTCCTCGTGTCGTGTCCGTGTGTCGTCTCCACGTGTCGTGTCCTCGAGGCGATTTGGTAGATGAGAAGAGTCTCTCTTCGGGGATCCCTTGTTGGACTTGGTCTTTAGCGTGGGCATGCGTGTCTGTAGAAACGGGTGTACAACTGTGTGCTGCGAATAAGGACGGTGGCAGCTGATTGTGCTGGAACTTGGAACCTCGTCGAATGGGAGCCCTCGATAGTAGCTCCCAAGGCTTTCTAGGCTTTTGGGGTTGTCCCAGGGTTTCGCGGAGTTTTCCAACTTAGGCTTTGTCTAGGGCTTAGGGTGTTTAAGGAGATTTGAACGATCTGGTTCACCGTTCATACCGTGTACGTGCGCTTAGCTGCTTTGCAGGATGACTGCTTGGCACTGCTTTGAATTCTCCTCTGGACGGCCTGGTCAGGTATTCCTCCAGTAGAGAAAGCCAGCAGCCCCGGTTCATGAATACCGAGTCTCCTTTCATTATTGTGGGTTTTACCTGGAGTTATGCCTTAGCTGTCCATCGATTGCATCTTGGCTCACTCACTAGCACATGTTTTTGGCATCCATGCACACATAAAGAAACATAGCTGTGAGACACGATCAGTAGGGTACAAGCCCAAAGTAGTCGCGCAGCAAATCTTGGATCTGTCCTGTTAAGTATTCTCAACATGAGTCGTGATAGTGGCTGTCGAAGTTTCCCACATGTGTCGTGATTCTGATCGTGGCAGTCGAGATTTGAAGCTTAGACGCCGCAGCGTAAAACCTAAATTGAGGGTTCAGGCGGGGGCCTTTCCTCGCTTTGTGGCTGGATTGAAGGAGGCTCCCACCTCAGCATCGCCCAACACCAAGCCCCCAAAGCCTAAGGCCCTCAACCCTAAACCCTACCCCTAAGCCTCAACCCTCAACCCTCAACCCTCAACCCTAAACCCGAAATCCTAAACCCTAAGCCCTAAACCCTAAATCCTAAACCCTAAATCCTAAACCCTAAACCCTAAACTTTCCTTGTGTTGAAGCTTTGGGAAAGTCGGGCACCATCCCTTGCCCCCGACCTTGATCAAGCTTGGGGTTTTAGAGTAGGGTTTAGGGTTTAGGGTTTAGGGTTTAGGGTTTGGGGTTTGGGGTTTGGGGTTTGGGGTTTAGGGTTTAGGGTTTAGGGCGTGTCAGGGGAGGGCGCGCGCTCGGGTGTGAAACACCCCGGGCCGCGCGCTCGCGTTGCCCGTCAACCCACCACGGCCACCCAAACTATACTCTATTAGGGTTCAGGGTTTATGGACTTTTTCTTGTGCACCGAGGCTTGCTTTTTTGAAGTTGGTGTTGGGGTTTAAGCTGGAGTCGAAGGTAGCCTCGGTCCTGTTCGGACCTTCGGCGTGTCAGGGCCTCGTTTTCGCCAATGAGTATTTCTATCGCTAGGGTTTATGCTGGGGTTCGGGTAGCCTCGGCCCTTCTCGGGCCTTCGGCACGCTAGGGCCCGTAGAGGCCCTTATTTGCTTGAAGGCCTTCGCAGGGTTTTGCGGTGTTAGGGTTTAAGCTGGGGTTCGGGGTAGCCTCGGCCCTTTTCGGGCCTTCGGCACGTCAGGGCCCGTAGAGGCCCTTGCTGATTTGGGGGCTTCCTGGGGCTTTCCTGGTCCTTTTGAGGTGAAATGGAGGGTGCCCAAAACCATCATCGATTTCAGTACTAAAAATAACATTTTTCATTGTGCCTAAAACCATCGTTTTCAATAGTGAAAAATCGCATTTTTCATTGCGGGCACGGACAAATCTTGGGGTCCCCCTTCTTTTCGGGGGCCTCTTGACCTTTTGGTGGCTCTTGGCGCCTCTTGAAGGGCTTCCTCGGCTTTCCTTTTCCAGGCCTTGGCCGGAGATGGGGGGCCTTGGCCTGGAGGGGTCCTTAACCGGCAAACCTCTTGATTAAAAAGGGGGCCCTTGCCGCGAGCGTGGGTGGCCGGGGAGCCTTAGCTAGGGAGGGCCCTTGGCCCGGGGGCCCTTGGCAAGGCCCTTGCCCCCCAACAGCTCGGAAGTGCAATTGAGCAACCGGCCTGCTTGGAGCCCTCTGGTCCAGCAATCCAAGCCGCCAGGGGCAGGGGGCCCCCGGCAGGGGGGGCCCAGCAAACCCTGAACCCAAAACCCTGAACCACGTCCAGAAGCAAAGGGTTACGCTTTGGTTTTATACTTTTGCTACGCTAAAGGTGGTCTGGGTGCCGGCCATCCCTTAGCCGAGTACTGACGTTGTCGTAAAAAAGGCCGATGTCCGTTGGCCTGTCCAGGACAGACGGTGAGGCTTAACCCTCACCTTTCCGTTTCTCTTTTCGCTTGGGCGCTCGGGCTGTAAGGCCCTCGGCCGAGCGTTCGGGGTCTGTCGCTCGACGGAAGCGACCCCTCACTTTGTTTAGGATTCAGGGTTCAGGTTTCAGGGTTTAGGGTTTAGGGTTTAGGATTCAGGGTTCAGGGTTTAGGGTTTAGGATTCAGGTTTCAGGGTTCAGGGTTTAGGGTTTGCGGTTTAGGGTTTAGGGTTTTAAAGTTTCATGGTTGAAGGGTTTTGAGATTCGGAGTCTGAGGGTTTTGAGATTTTGGGTTTGAGGTTTTCAGGGTAGGTTTTAGGGTTGTTGGTGTTTGGATCAGAGCTAAGAGGTTTTAAGCTTCGAGTGCTTGACGGCTGTAGGGTTTCAGGTTGAGGGATTGGGCTTGTAGGGTTTAAGGTCCAAACATCACCTGCGGTTTACTGGTATGGCGGGGCTGTGCATGCTGTGAACCTGTAGCTGTTTAGGGCCCGAAGCCCTAAATCCTAAACCCTAAACCCTAAACCCTAAACCCTAAACCCTGAACCCTGAACCCTAAACCCTGAACCCTAAACCCTAAACCCTAACCCCTAAACCCTAAACCCAAAACCCTAAACCCCAAACCTCAACCTTCAAGAGGCCTTAAGCAGGTCTCGAGGTCCATAGGGGCGCCTTTCTGTGCTCGCTCCCAGCTCGCCAAGTCAGGAACTCCGTGAGGCTCAGAAAGCCACAAAGGGTTGTGAGGTTTGGCGCACCCTAAACCCATCGATGCTGTTAGGGTTTAGGGTTTAGGGTTTAGGGCTTAGGGTTTAGGGTTTAGGGTTTAGGGTTTAGGACTTAGGGTTTATGGTTTAGGGTTTAGTTGAGGGTTAGGTGTACAGTAAGGGTTTAGGGTTTGCCTTGGCTCAGGTCGCCAGGCTGTACCGTTGCGTGCTCTTCGATGCCGTCTGTCTCAATTGGTGCCGGGAGGTCAGGACTTTCGACAGTCGCAGTCTCAATCCTCAAGACGACCCGAAGCTCTAAACCCTGAACCCAAGCATAAACCCCAAGCCTTACGTACCAAAGGATCCAAATTCTGCTGACCGTTGAATCGTAAGCCCCTAGCCCTGCACCGGTGCTAAGTTTTTTCGCTGATGTCCATGGGTTTTTTCGGGCTAAGTGTTTACGACTTTGCGGTTTTAGGGTGTTATGGGGTTTAGAATTTGGGGGCTCGGGAGTTTCTATGAAGTCTTGCAGGTCCTAGCAGAGTTGTATGAACTTCTGCTTCTAATGTTGGCCCAGGGTCTACTAAGGCAAGACTGAAGCCGCTGCTCTTCCACTTCCAATGCCCAAAATCGGTCCGAAGTCCATGTCCTCCAAGCATCCCAGGCCTTACACAAATCCCTTAAGACCTCCCTGGAGGAAAGGTTCTCGCGCTTTCAGCTCCCTAAGCGCCCTACACCCTGAACCCTAAACCTTATAAACCCTAAACCCTAAACCCAAAACCCTTAGACCCACATTCCAAGGTTGGCACGCTGCGCGTGGGAGGTGAGGGGGGCTGGTGGGAACCTGCTCCGCCAAAGCCTGAGAGGAGCCCAAGGTGAAGCCCCCGAATTGAGGCCATGAGGGGCACCTTATCCTAGGGTTTAGGGTTTAGGGTTTAGGGTTTAGGGTTTGGGGTTTAGGGTTTAGGGTTTAGGGTCTAGGTCTAGAGTGTCACGGTTCTAGAATTCATAATCATTAGGGGGTTCCAGGCTTAGAAAAAAACTCACC